CTTGATTTCGGTTGGTCGGATGGTAAAATGGGTTTGCTGACTCTAAGTCGTGACAACGTCGATCCTCCTTTACTCCACACTGCTGATTCTACAAATGCCGCAGTCATGTTCACTTTGTGTTATCAACAGTGTCAAGAGGCAGAGGAGCTGTGCAAACACTGAGCCGTTGCCCCTCGGTTCCTGTGCAAAGATACACGTCGTGTCATAAACACTGCTGTCTCCACATTAATCCTAAACATGACTTCGGTACAGATGAAGCTGGTGTATTAAATTTCTCTAACAGCTTCCCTTTAAATCAACAGAAAGCTGTTGGGCTTTTATACTCGGTGAGTTGCGGCTTCACAGTCTGTGCAGTCTGTTATATTGGGCTTTGTGGCTATAACATTTCCATCAAAACTTGGACCGAGGTGAAACTTTGACAATCTATCCATCAGCCACTCTGCTTCTCAGCCAGACAGTCAATGACCAGCTGTAAATGATCCTGTAAGCCACTGGCTGTTAAAACGCTCTCACTGCTACATTTTACAAGAAATGTATACCCGGTAGGAAACAGAAGGAAGAATATTAAGCATTGAACCAATGCTGAGAGATGGGCAATCCCACAGATGTGCACCGAGCACAAACACACACACGGTGAAGTCAAATAGACACAAAAGCATGTGAGAAAAAAAATCTTTATAATATGATACACTCACAGCGCACGAATGCTGCTGTGGGAATTCAGTGTAACACACACACATAGAGGGAGGCTCTGTCTCTCCTAGTTGGCTGTCATGAATATAGGTCTGCCAAACTGAGCAACAACAACAACCAAAAAAAAAGAAAAGAAAAGAAAAAACAGTGGAAGTATTACATAAGTTAGGATTCTCTGTGATTTGAACCTAACTCAGCGGTGCTGAGGCGGCTGTTTAAATTGCATCAGTTCCTCTGATGTAAATGTGTATAGCCTTCAACTCCCTCAGAGCTTTTAGTCATTTATTTTGATTAGGGCTGTATTTATAAGATAAGTCTCTTAAGTAAGTCGCCTGGGATAACGGGTTGGCGAGGATGGTGGTGGGGGAACAAAATGAAGTCTGTTTGATGATTATAAATTCCGAAATATCTGCTTGTCAATTAATTAGCTGCTTCCTGGGTATGTGTGCCCCTCTTTTCATTTACTGGGCCCAGCTCTCCGTGGACAAATACCCGCGATGCACCCATTGTATGTCTAAGCAGTTACACGCATCTCCAGCAGCTGGGGAGCGGAGAATAAAGATCCTTCAAAGGCAGACAGTTTTCAAGAGCAAGCCTCTGTTTTCTTGTGCCGGCTGATTTCTGAGAGCAGCGTATTTGGCTGCTTGAAGGCTTTACTCTGCCAGTGTCTCACTCTCAGACACAAACAACTGGAGAATGATGTGGATGTGAAGAGATAGGTAGAATGAGAAGACTGCACTTGAAGTGAAGCTTCCATCATTTTTGCCTGTGGTAGTACCACATTACGTGCAGGAAACTTGTCTTGTTGAGGTCTTTGTGGTTAGGCGAACCTTGACCATTGTCATGAAGATACTGTATCTATTTATAACTCCGCAATACTAGCTGGATTTTTAAATGAATGGAAAAGGATAAAGGATTGAAATATATTTTATATATTCAATAAAAATAAAGCATACATGGATATATTCACTGGTCATCTAGACCAAGTTACTGACTAGCACAGTATGTTATGTTATTTACATTGCATACTGCATATTAGCAAGCTAGCATAAATTATTTTTGTCCCCACATAATATTTAATTGTAGTAACTAGCCAGCATGTTTTGTATTGTAATTCTAAAATTTAAGCTCTCCTCACTTTTTGTATACTGAACCATTTTAAGAAATTAAATTCCAATTTATTTAGATAACACCAAATCACAACAGCAGTCACCTTAAGGCATTAAGACCCTACAATAATACAGAGAAAACTGAAACAGTCAGGTGACCCATATGAGCAAGCATTTGGTGACAGTAGGAAGGAAAAACTTCCTTTCAACAGGAAGAAACCTCCGGCAGAACCAGGCTCTGGGAGGGGCAGACATCTGCTGAGACAGGTTAGTGGTGAGGGGAGGGAGACAGGACAAAAGACACGCTGTGGGAGAGACCAAGAGATTAATAATAATTCATAATTAAATGCAGAGTGGTGCATAAACACACAGGGAGTGAAAAAAGGTGAACGAAGAAGAATTAATAATTTAAAGCAGCTAGTTTGTGTTTTCAACTGTTACTCTTTAGAAATTGCATTTGTATGCAACTAAAAGCAACATAATAGTGCTTGAATTATGTTTTCTGTTAGCATAATGAGAAAACTTTAATGAGTAATCTGTTTAGTGAGCTGTAAATGTGTTGATAATAAATGCATCAGCTCCTGTGTCCTTGAAACACCGATGCACTTCATTGGGATTTGTAGATTGGGGATTTTTAGCACATCCAGTCAAATGACTGGTCCATCCATCGACCTGTCCGTCCAAAGTTCACAGTTATTGGTCAGACTTTAATCAAACGTGCACACAATGGTTACCTAATGGATGTTCAAAGTGTGCTCAACATCAGTGTTGCGTTTGTCATTTCATGGTGAGTTGGGTGAGCTACTACTTGGCTGACCTTGTGTTGTTTTTTTTTATCATTTCAGCTTTGTTTTTTGTATTTTTCCTTTTGTACTGGCATTTGTATGTTCACAGTTTGACAGCTCAGAGGCTTAAAAAAAGTAGGAAATGTTTGACCAGAACTGCAGTTTATCGAAAAGGTACTAGAGGCTGACTCTGAAAATGCACGATAAAATACCCAAAATATAGCATGGTAGAATAAATGGTTTTAATCCATCTGTTTTCAGGTTTGTTGACTGCTTATTAAGTTTAGCATCAGGGAATGGGTCCATATTGCCCATAGATGCTAATGCAGAAGTGTCTAAAATCCTCCCTGAATTCTGTCTAAAGGCCACCAGATGGTGATAGCTGTGGTTACAAAAATACTTCCGGTCCTATAGAAGTCGATGGTGAAACTGCTTTCTGAGTTGACACAAACCTGCTGAGTTTATGAAATCGGTCGATCATGTCAGGTCATTTAATCGAAAAGTTGTTTGAAGGATTGATTGAATGAAGGATTATCTGTGGTGTGAAACGGCACACTCATTAGCTAACGAGTTGTCATCATAGTTGACATCATAGCACAATCAGCAGTTAGCCTAATATGCATGTGCTTGGACTGGACTGTGGGGGCGGGGCTTTAGCTATGCCAGACTAAACCTGTGCAGGGGAGAACATGCAAACTCCATGCAGAAAGGCCCTGCCAGTCAGAAGGTTCAAACCCAGAACCTGCTAGCGACAGTGAAGCTACAGTGCTAACTGTGCTAACACATTGCTAACCAGTGCAGGTGTTGCTCGTTGATGTTTGTGTCTATAGTGTCTATTGTATTTTTTTTTTCCTTTTTTAATAAATGTCCTGTTTGGAACATTCTTTAAATGCAAGTGAAAGGCTGCTGGTTCAATTCCAAACCTTCTTTTGGGAAGGGTGTCTGTGTAAAAGTCTGCTAAATCAAACATGTGGAGCTATCTGCTGCGGTAACAAAGGAGTAGCTGAAATGCAATAAGCAGGGATCTATGTCTTAAGCCTTACCTTGTTAACCAAGGTCACAAGCATTAGCAAATAATTTAGCACTCCAGCATATTCTCTGAATATGGTCACTTTTGGCTCTAACAAAAAAAAAAGATGGCAGTGGGATGAAAGCTGTTATCAAGGCTTCAAAATACAGGTTCCTGCGTCTGTCGATCCTGCTTTATGCTATCCCTGCTGATTTCTAACACATAAAATAGCATAATTTCAATCGAATAGGTTCAGTACAAATTCCCTGGCAGATTTGAAGATTTCAGAACCTGAGCTCACAAAGCTTCATGGGAGTAACGTTGTGTGTTGTTTCTTTAAAATGCTTGTCAAACAGAGTTACTCGGTGACATGTTCTCTTAAGGTTTTTTTCTTTTTTCCCTTTCTTGCATGACAATTTTCACATTTGTATTCAGTCCAATCTGTCAAAAATATTCGGAACTGCAAACACTGCATGCGATGTCACCGTGATCTTAAGCAGGTTTTTGTTCTCCTCAGAGGTGGTGAGTCACACTGCATTTGGCAACGCCTCTCACTCGCACAGTTGAGTTTACAGTCTGGTTTCCAGTGAAGGAAAAAAATGTGACAGCATGCAGCATGCGACAAGTCATCAAATCAGACCTATATTTCCTCCGTCCCATATGTGGGAATCTTGTCATATTTAGTCCTCCTCAACATCATGATAGCTCCAGAAAGAGTGCATGTTTTGCAAAATGTTCTTTTTAATACAGAATGCCTACAAGCATCAACAACAGAATACAGCTCGACTGAAATAATCCACGTTTCCTAACCTCAGGTAGATTCCCAGCTACAGATAAACATAAATATTTTGAGATTTCATATTTTTCATATGTTTTGCTGCCACAGCTTAATACTCCAAAAATATTTATTCTGGGAGGGATTAGGCGATTACTGTATCTAAACCTACCTTGCGTGAGGTGAGGCTCCTCGACGCGGTTTGAATCTTTAGAAATGAACGTGGCATCTTTTAAAAGAAAATTAAAGACCCAAAATAGTTTTGGCTTTTTCCTGTTTTTCCCCTGCGATCTGAAAGCAAACACTTGCATCCAGACATGTTGTCTTTCATCATTAAACTGTCTTGCAGAGGCTCCCGGGAGCCTCTTTGAGCACAGAGAGGAACCATGTATTTTAAAACAAGTGTCTCCTCTCTCTGGTGGGAGGTGTATATTAGAGTCATGGACCTGAGTTGAAATGATCTTAAAAAAGAAAAAAAAATAGCTTCTCATGTCTTACACACGCACACATCCACGGGCGCCTTTGTTGTCGCTTTATACATTAACGCAGGTGATACCCAAGGTCTCACAAGTGTGCAGATCTTTGACCTTGTTTTCTCTCCCCTCTCTGCTTCCATTATGTGCTTGTAGATCAAAGACACGCAGGGTGCTCCAGGCAGTCTTTCCAGTGAAGATCCTCACTTAAAGGCAGCTGACAGAGGTGAGTTATTAAACCTTACCACTGCTCTAGTGACCTCGCCCCTTCCCCTCACAATTTAAAACCCCTCTTTTAAAGATTCACCACAAAGTAGCCACAAGATAATGTTCGTAGCAAGCCTCTCAGTGCTGCACATGCTTATGAGTTGATTTCTCAGAATACATTAATCTCTTTTTCTGTTAGATTTTTACCCTCCACACAAGAGCTGACAGGTTTGTTGGCCTATTTTAATTAATGCGATACTATTTTAACAATGTATCCACAATGGATCAACTACAGGGTGTGTGAAATTGCATTGTGTTTAGCTTCCCTGAAATTAAGGTGCAATCATAGATACTTGTTCATGGTAAAAAGGGCTCGACTAACAGAGAGGAGACACTTTTCAGACGACTGGATCACTTACAAATAAGTCAAATTAAAATTGACCTGAATAAGCATTCATTTAACCCTAGAACACTATCGCTATAAATAGTAACACCATTACTAACGCCGGGTGGTTTTTACCCAATATAATATACCCAAAAAGTACTTGGCATCAAAATATATCAA